GATTCCCTCGGCGATCATGTCGCACAACGTCAGTCCTCCAAAGATGTTTACAAAGACGACGGAAACGCGGGGATCAGATAGGATGAGCTTAAACGAGGTCTTGATAGTGGCGGACGTCGCCTTGCCACCCGTGTCGAGGAAGTTGGCAGCAGAAGTCGAGTAAGGCGGTTGAGAAAGACGCAGAGAAAGCGTATCAACGGTGTTTAACGCGAGTCCAGCACCATTGACCAGAGTACCAATCACATTTCGCGGTCCTTCCTCGGTATTAGAGGACAGTGGCGTTTGAGTCCCTGCCTGAGTAGTGCCAGCAGGAAATTCAGGAGAGCCCAAGGGTATGTAAACAATACCCGCTTCTTCTGCTTCCCGATCTGTAGCTGAGATGGAGGCTTGGTCGCGTAGAGTGTGAAGATCGGCTTGTCGTTTTCCTGACTTGAACGCTGCGTCGTCGAAAAACAGGTATGGTTCGTAAACAAGCATCTCATCGCTCTCTACAGACAGAGCGAGCTTGACATGGGTGTCTATGGCTTCCTTCTCTTTATATAGCTTCCAGAGATTCTTGATCAATTCGACTGTTTGGGCTTTAGCTTTAGGTGGTGCAGCGTCGAGTTGCATGTGTGCGATTGCGGCTTGGATGGTCTCTGAACTGGGGCCTGCACGGTAGTCGAAGGGAAAGCGACGGACGCGTTGGTTGAGTGTGGAACCATTTGCGGTGGGTGATGCGATGATTGAAGGACTGCGGGCTGAGCGATTGGGGGATATTCCTAGGTAATGTGTTGACGGTGAGCCCTCAGGTGGTACAGTTAAGTTGATCTTGTATCCTTTGAGGAGGTTTGTAGATTGGTCTCGGGTGAGATGGAGAGTACGTCTTTGTTGAGGCACGATTGACGGTCTAGCGGAAAAGGCAGGTCTCCGTGTGAAGTTTGAAGTATGATATGAGCGGCGTTGTTGAGCGGCGGATTGTTCCTGGTCGCGGTCAGTGTCTTCATACTCGGTCTCTCTCAACTTCGAACATACAGTTTTCTTCACATTGCCACCGGCCTTTGCAAGAATATCCTTCATCACACCGCCAAATTTTGCAGGATGATCCACCATAGTCACACCGGCGTTTTCAAGAGCCTTGTACTTTGAAGCTGCAGTGCCTTCTCCCAGACCAACCCACGCGCCTGCATGACCCATTACCTTTCCGTGCGGCGCTTCGAATCCCCCAATTACAGCGGCAATAGGTTTCGGATTCTTGACACGCCTCTTGTAGTCATTGATCCAGTCCGCCGCCTCCTCTTCTGTTGTACCGCCTAGTTCGCCGACGATGATGATAGCTTTGGTACCTTCGTCATGCTCAAAAACTTTCAAGGCATCGACAAAGTTGGTCCCAGCGATCACGTCACCTCCTACTGCGATGCATAGACTCTGACCAACACCAGCTCGCGTTAGAGATCCTACGGTCTCGTATGAGAGCGTGCCAGATTTTGCTACAATGCCGATGTGCCCAGGAGAGAATGTTGGGAGTGGTTGGAACCCGATCCTGCATTTCCCAATAGCAGAGATGATACCAGGGGCATTGGCGCCCACGAGCCGCGACTTGGACTGCGACTGCAGCATCGAATGTATCCTCATCATATCATGCAATGGAATATGTTCCGCAACTGCAACGATGAGTGGCACCTCGGCTTCAATAGCCTCTTCAATTGCAGCTGTCGCCTGATGAGCTGCCACGTAGATTCCCGTGGCATCTGGCTTCAATTGTTCCATCGCGGCCCTCACAGACGGCAATACAGGCAGCCCAAGATGCTCTCCTGAGCCGTTGGGTTTCACACCACCAACCACATTGGTCCCCCATTCTATCGACTCTCTTGCATTCGCAGTGGCTTGTTTTCCGGTAAATCCCTGGAATATCACACGTGTGTGCGAACCGATTTTGAGATTTTGAATGGTGTCATCGTAGTTGTTGCGTCGAGAGGAGATTGAGAAGGTGGCACAAGGTGTCCGTCGGCCAGGCTTTTGCGCCGTGCGGATATTATTGCGCAAGACACGCACTTGCTGTGAAAGCATATCGGATAGAACGAGCTTTTAGATCAACGTCATAGACTGTTTCAGTACTTGGAACGAACCGTCAAAACCACCACAACCAGGTCTCAATCGTAGAAAAGAAAGACAACAACGAAGCACGCTCTTGCTTTGTCCGCTCAAGTTGAGTCCTGTATCTAGACATCTGGTACCTCAGATGAGCTCAGAGGTAACTAACCGACGTGCATTGCGGCTACATGCGAGTAGCCGAATGGACCCCTCATACATCCGAACCTCGGGCGACATCGGAATTCTTAAACAACTGTCTGCGCGCCCTGCAGACTGCGGGTTCATGGTGCTTTTCTGCGATTCACGACCGATGGTCGGCAGGCATCTACCGAAGCTGACAAGCTCAGTTGGTTTGGAAGGGCAGTTTCTGGTGTAGCCTAGACACAGCAGAGGAGCAACATGCCACAGGCTAATCATAGTATAGCCGACACTCAAGTTCTCACCAGACGTTGATGTGATTTCCTCTTCGCATTCAAAGTCGAAATTTCATGTGCAACTATACGCAGACCTCGGCCATTTTCATGTGTTGCATGCCCAGCGGAAAAGTGCCTTGCATGCTTACCCCAGATCCCCCGGGGCCGCGGAAGTGGGTCGCGTGACGTTGTTGGCGTCGGCTCGCGTGGCTTTTTACACATCACCCGCCAGGTCAAACAAGACAATTGACCGCCCGCGCGACCACGTCCACCGCCTCCTACTCGTCCACGCGCTCCGCTAACGTTGGCACGCGACTCATCGTCATCATCGTGATCGAGAACCATGGCCGATGAGAAGGATGACCGCGGAAGTTGAAAGCATGGATACCTGAAAGTCCGGGGGGCCATGGGTGGCTCTTGAGCCTCTTTGATCCACTACTAACCCCTAGGCTTCACGAGGTCTTTTGCTTTGCTTCTTCCTCTGCTTTCTGCTTCATCCTGCGCTAGTTATGAGCTGCTAATTATACTACACTACACTTCTTTCAGTGTCCTAGTCCATCGGCCCTATTCAGTCATGCTACCTCACGTACTTCTCCTCGCAGGCTTCCTCCACCGTAGCCATGCCTTCTCGATACCACACGTTCCTCGCCTCGGCGATTTTGTTGGCGCCAGTCACACCCAGGCACTGCAGCAGCCGTTACAAGATTCACTCGATGCGTGGATCGAGAAGGAAGGACGTATAGCACTAGACAAACTCCTGGCAAACATCGCACCTGGCGGTAGTAATGTCCAAGGGAAGGGTGTAGCGGATGGCACGGTCATTGCGAGTCCGAGTCAAGAGAGTCCAGATTACTGGTTCCAATGTGAGTTTCGCAAACCTGTGCTTGCTATCAATCAATCACCAACGTGCATCTAACAGGGGTTCGCGATGCTGCCATAACTATGAACACCCTCGTAGACGTTTATGCAGACGGCCCATCCTCTTCTCGCGGTTCCGCGTTGTCTTCTATCCTCGGCGCATATACTTCTCTCTCGAGCGACATTCAGCACACCTCGAACCCTTCAGGCACATTTGACGATCTCTCTGGATTGGGTGAACCTAAGTTCCACGTCGATGGCACACCATTTACTGGCTCCTGGGGACGGCCTCAGCGTGACGGCCCAGCGCTACGGGCCTTGACGCTTATGCACTATCTGCGTGAATACAATGCCTCACACCCCTCACTCTGGAGTTCAGAGTCATCTGAGGATTTCTTCGGACCATACTACACTGCAGAGATGCCGCCGCGTAGCGTCATCAAAGCCGACTTGGAATACGTCAGTCACTTCTGGAACCAGTCAAGTTTCGATCTTTGGGAGGAAGTCGAGGGCCTGCACTTCTTTAACCTAATGGTCAGCGCAAGAAGTTTGAAGGAAGGTAGCGATCTTGCAAGAACATTTGGAGATATGGGTGCAGCGCAATGGTACAAAGAGCAGGCTGATCACATCGAGAGTTTCCTCGGCAAGTTCTGGGATGCTCAGAAAAATCACCTTGTGGAGACGTTGTCGAGCAAAAGGAGTGGACTGGATTGCGCATTGCTCCTTGGCTCTCTTCATGCTCTGCCTGCAGACGATTTCGAAGGCGACTCTGCATACCCACCTTGGTCTGACGAGATTCTCGTTTCGCTTCTTGCCCTTGCCCGTGACCAACGCGATCGGTTCCCCATCAACAGCAATCCATCGGACGAGGACCAGGATGACGTGGAAGAAAACTCATTCGAAGGAACCGGTATTGGGCGTTATCCGGAAGATGTATATGACGGATATGGCACCTCTAACCGCGGTGGTAACCCTTGGTTTCTGTGCACATCGTCGGCTGCCGAGGTTCTTTACCGTACCGCATCACACCTCTCAGTTGCTGGCAATTTGACCATCTCTGGCACCGGTCTGCCTTTCTTCGAGGCCCTCCTTGCAACATCATCTCTTGACGTTGATGTTGGCACATTCGGCCCGTCTGATGCACTCTTTCATTCCGTTATTGAGCGATTGCACACCACGGGCGATCAGTTTCTCGAGGTCATCAAGACGCACGTTGATGCTGAGGGTAGCATGAGTGAGCAGTTCGATCGTGTGACAGGTTATATGAGGGGCGCTGAGGACCTGACATGGAGCTACGGAGCATTCCTGCAGGCCGCCAGAGCGAGGAAAGTATTCATGGGCCTTTGAAAGATGCTGCAGTCAAGACGACGCAACCATGAAGCGAGAGATGAGTTATGAATTATGACTGATATACGACCTTTGAACAGCGTGGAGTTTTTCCGGTCCGACCATGAACATGAAGATTAGATACCCTCGTTATACTACAATGACATTCTTCCTACTAAATATTCATGTATGTTGCAATATAGACGTGTGCAGACGGACAAGCACTTCAGCCAGCAAAGTAAAGATAACTCAAGGATCAGTATTAATATTTTATTCTCTAACCAGAAAGCTGCAAGGACACATCCTATGTACTAGGGAGGCGTATCCGGTTTAGTCCAGAGGCCAGTACTCATGGATGTTATGCTGTGTCTTCCATCCTGCTTAACATTAGTATATAAAAGCAACTTCATATGCCACAAGAACTTACTCATGAACCAACAACAGAGCGGGAAGAACAGCGTATTTACAGCACCCCAGGCGATTAGAATACCAAAGTCCAGACCTATTCTTGAGTGTAAATCGAACAATATCGACCGACTCCCTTCGACAACTACAATGAAATGTTAGCAGCTGACATCGCTGGCATGTCGTGAGTGGTATTGCTTACTCGAATGTAGAGGCCAAGCATATCCCCATCGGTAAAATCCAGGCGCAATCTCAATGTCGTAGAAAGAAGTGGACACGTTGGTGATGACCCAGAAGATCAAGAACAGACCCATCCACGGCATACCCACTACCATTGCCACATTCTCACACGCCAATCCCAGCGCAATCATGCCAAAGAAGTTGAGCATCCAGTATACCACAAAGGTTCCACTTCCATAAGCGACTGGGTTACCCTCCATCATGTTTGTGACTTGTGTTTCGCTGGTGATGGAGTTTGTGTGCCAGAAGTTGATCTGGAAAGCCATCGAGACAAATGAGTAGGCAAGGGAGAGCATAAAGTAGGCGGATATCGTAGCGCACCAGCGCCAGATGATGAGCTGGGGAAACTTGAGCGGTGGGTGGTTTTCGGGCTTGAGGTATTGCATGTGAATGGGCATATAGAAGGAGAAGCTAAAGAACGATATAATGATAAGATCTATAATCGGGATTAGCCAATTTATGGGTGGAGAGTACGGGCAAACTTACAAATGAGTCCGATGGATACGGCAGGGATACCAGTGTACGGATAGAAAGGCCGCAGGTTGAACTCGGAGAAGCCAATCGCTGGGTTGATGGCTTGGGGCGCGTTTTGGATATTTGAAAGCACTGCTGGATCGCTCGCACGCTGCATCGCCATCTGTGCCCATTGCTGTCCGACCATACTTTGTGCCTGGGTCATGAACTGACTGATGATGGGAAACATGAAATCAAACCAGTTGGTATCATCTCTCGCATCTTGGTAGATCAACTGACACGCTCCCAGAGGATCGTAACTTGCGTTGCCGTTGGCGATAGCGGAGTACAATAGCGCGCTCGCGTTAGGGTTGATGATAATAGCAGCCCAGGCATCCCAATTGTAGACTGCCTGTCGGACTTGTATCGGGTCGTTGTTGAAGTCTGAACCAGGCCGGACGCCCCATCCCAGCGTCGGCTGGCCGCTGCTCAACTGCTGTTGTACAAGTTGCGTGATAGTCGGTCCAACGAAGGGCGCGTTCCCGGTGTTGTCATAAGGCGCCGCTCCATCCATATCCACAACGTAAACCAGCAAATGGCTTAACCTATTCTCGACCTTGAAGAACACAGCCCAGTACAGCGATAGCACAGCCAAAATGAATGCCATCAAGAAGGCCGTCGTGATGATCCACTTTACGACAGCGCGATTTCGAACTTGTCGAAGATCGGGATGCCAGAACCCCACGGGTTGCATGTCAGACTGTTGCGATTTCTCTTTGCCATCCTCAGCTTCCTTGGGCGCCGTTTTCCCACGATTCGTTTCTGGATGTCCATTTGTGCCTTCTTCTGCGTTGATCTGGGCCGGAGGGCGAAATGCGCGTGGTAGGCGAATGCGATTAATTAGTTGCGACATGGTATATCGAAGTAAAAGGATGAGGTGCAAGTATCCCAGGGGAGATGGACCACAATTCGTCGCTTAAAAAGCTTGCTGCACCTGGAGAATGCATGGCGGCCATTTGGTTTTATTTGTTGTTACGGTTATTTCCTCTAAGGGCTGTTTGCTCGATGGTACGGATATCTATGACGTGTTAGCGAGTTTTAGATCGGAGCGTTATGGTGACGTTTGCAGCCGCGAGATCCTAGCTCCAACACTTAGCTCCGCGGCAACGAGAAGAGTGTCTAGATTTGATATTAGTTTTGTATTGATCGTCCGGGAATATCGTTAATTAATGAATTCCATGCCCGTGCATAGCTATCATGTTGGGAATTGATTTCATCGCATCAGCATCGCTCAAATACTCGGTATAGACCTTTTAGGTTTGCGACCTCCATCACACCCCCATTGAGTAGCCCTTTCGTGCCCACTAGTCTAGCCTTACACGCCGGAAATATGGTGTATTCGATTGCCCGCAGTAGCTTCTTCCGCCTTATAGCAATCTCGATGTCTTCATCAGCAACTGTGCCCTTGTCTTTGCTGTCATCGCTCTTCTGTGCGGATGGCGGCAGAGGCAGACTTTCAGGTACGTAGAAGGACGCAATCTCTCGCAGCAATGTTTGGAAGCATCCCTTCTCCTCATTCCAGTTAACATGTGGTCCGAGACGTAGCAGGAATTGAGGAAGTTTGGCTATAGAAGGAGTGTAGTCCTTCATCAGCAACGGAATAGAGCAAAGGTCGCCTTCTGGGGTGATCTCCATAGAGAAGTATTCGCCTAGCAGCGCTGCCTTACTGATCAACTGCTCCTTGACAACCTCGACAACCTCATCCCAGTCTACCTCGTCCGCCGCGTCGCCTGCATTGGTCTTCTCTTGTTCTGCGGCAACCTTGAGCAGGTCATGTAGTGATAAAGGCGGATTGAAGCGGATTGATCCGTAATTGGCAAAATCTGTGAGACCAACTTGGTAGAAATACTCGTTGCAGAGCATGCCATAGTCGACGAGAAATAGCTTGACGCCGCCTTGTATGGCTGCTATACGCTTCTGCTCGTCAACAATACCAACAAATGTATGCGTCGAGATAATATCCGTAAGCTCGTTGTGCATGGCATCTCGAACCTCTGCGCGAAGGTCTTTGACGGACGTGAGACGACAAGCTATTGGTTCCTTTTCTGCGAGCTCGTATTCCATTTCTTCTTCATCCATTGCAATCTCTTCGACTGATTTCTGCGGCTGCAACATCGACGTAATCTTGCGTGCTGAGGCATCTGTGCGGACAAGGTGATTATCATTTCGTTTCTTGGTCGCTGTTTGCGGCGCCTTTGAGCCGCTGCGATCAGATGCATCAGCTGTCGCAGGAACCGAAGGTATAATCTGTTTCATGGGCGTTGCGAAGGGGACTTTGGGATTTGAAAGCAACGACTGAGTCATGAACGATCGGCTTGTGTCCACCTTGCTCAAGCTTTCGCGGATTGAGTCGCATATGACAGCTATGATTTCGTCTTCATTCAGAAAATGAACCTCGCGCTTGGTAGGATGCACATTCACATCGACTCGTTGAGGCTCGATTTCGAGACTCAGATAGAAGAATGCATGTGCTCCTTTTGGTAGGAAAGTGGCATAAGTCTGCTCGACACTCTTTTTGATCACCGATGACTCTACCGATCGGTGGTTGATGAAGAGTAGCATCTGCGTCCGTTTGATCGTGTGGTTTGCGTTACTGACCCAACCGTTACACTTGAAGCCCCAGCGGTCGTCTTCGACGTTTAGGGATAGCAATTCGTTCGCAACAGCGCTGCCATGGATCTGCCGGATTCGATCTTTAACAGTAGCAGAAGCAGGTACTGTTACACCTGCGCTGTTTTCGCCCGCCTTCCTACAGGAGAAACCAACACCTGCGCAGTGAACAGCATACTTTCCGACAAGCTCGAGAATCTTTGCATACTCTTCGCTGGCGGAGCGGAAAGCTCGGCGCCGTGAGGGAACATTGTAGAACATGTCTTCCACCTACACTTCATGAGCTACAACCACAATTGGCACAAATTGAGAAGAGCATACCGTGATGATTGTGCCCTGTCGGCCGGCCTTGGGCTTGGGCTCTGCGCTCTGGCCAGGCTTCGCGCTTGAAAGCTTGCCATCGGCAAAGTGAGCTTCCCACGCACAACTTGACTCTTTCGTCCTCGTAGTGACTTTGAGATGAGCAATGTGGCTAATGCTCGCCAGCGCCTCGCCACGAAAGCCATACGTGCCAATGGAGGTCAGATCTTCGAAGGCTTTGAGTTTGGAAGTCGTGAAGCGTTCGCACAATATTGGCAAGTCCTCTTTCTAGGAGATATCAGTATATGATGATGCTGAGAGGGATTACACATACATCGATGCCGTGTCCATTGTCAGTAATCTGTAGCAACTTGAGACCGCCATCTTTGACCAGAACTTCCAATGCTGTTGATCCTGCGTCCACAGCATTCTCAATCAACTCTTTCAACGCGTTCACCGGCGCGACAATGATCTCTCCGGCTGCGATTTTGTTAACGACGTCTTGCGAAAGCGCCTTGATCCTGCGTGGAGCAGGAAGTGGAAGACTATCATCGCCTTTCCTCTTTGTTCCACGTGGCGACTGCGGCGTAAGCTCCATTTCATCCGTCATTTTTGCAAACCGAACTGCGCATTCGGAATAATAGTTTAGGGTGACGCTGGTGAGTGATGCATGACGGAGGTGTGGGCAGACGGGAAGCGCGATGGATGAAATGCCCCACTTTCGCGCTCTCACGTGGCCAGGCACCTCTCCCAACGTCACATCTTCAGCCTCATCACGCGTCATCATTCATCAAAATCCAAAGCTTTGAGGAGATGAAGGAGTACGCCCGAGATAACACTTCTAGCAACAATCAGCTCGATGCAATTTAAGGCAAAATAGCGTAGAGAAAAGAGTTGGATGCAGCAGGGCGTGTAAGCGGCACATCCAGGTGGCAACTGCTTCTACGTGATATCTCAGGATCCGACTACTGCTTCGTCTCTTTTCAAGGTTACACGGAAAAACATTGCAGTGATGTCGACCCCATCATACGCTCGCGCCACAACCTCGTCTGCCTCTAGAGCCAGCCCGAGATCATCGAGCACTATCCATACCACAGCAGAACCGACGAAATCTTCGCCATACAGTGCAAAGATCTCCACCACACCTGAAAAGCGCGCTCAAACCCCTCTGACTCCGAAGAAAACCCTCAAACGACCATCTCTTCTTACACCTCGGGCAAGAGACCAGCTCATCTACAATCGCGATCTCTACCCTATCAAACCCAAAGATGTCTCCAAGCCATGCCTCTTAGCAGATCTTCCATCCGAACTACGCAGCCTAGTATACACGTTTGTCTTACCAACGACACATCACATCTCTGATTCCTGGCCCGCAATCCTCAAACACGGACAACAACGGCCACCTCCCCTACTCCACATCTGCCGTGCGATCAGGATAGAGGCGGCATACGACTACTACACCAGCACAGCCTTCAAGTTTACAGTCCGGAACCTCAACTTCTATCCTGTTATGAAATGGCTGGATGAACTACCAAAACAGCATCGCGCTCTGCTGTTATCCCGGAACCGACATTTAGAAATTAACGTCTTACCGAGCGTAAAGAATACCTTCACATATCCACCCAAAGGCTGGTTGATTGATGGATACATGCAAGATCACTGGAAAGCATGCCAGCCCTTTGGAAATATTTACACAGTACCCTCTGACCTACATAAATCCCATTTTCTTGTGTTCTGCCGGCTAGCTTCGTGGTTCCTTTGGTGTTCGAGATCGCCACAAAAAGATATCAGGTGGGCTTACACATTTGAGCAGTCGCCATTCCATAATCCTTTTGGGTTGCCGGGTCTACAAGAGCAGGCGGTGTTAAAATGGTTTCTCAACCATCATGCTATGGTGCTAACGATGGGATGTGTGGAAAAGGCATGGAAGAGAAATAAATGCGGGGCGGCGATGATGCGAGGGGATGTCATGAAGTGGTTGGAGGCGTTGGACCGATGGTATAAGACACGCTGGGACGAAGAGGCAAACGAAGAAAACTGGGACGAGCAGATGGAGTCAGTGAAGAAGGCTATTCAAAAGTGGTAATTGACGGACATGGTTGTTGGATATGCAAGTTATCATTTGGGTATCATCGCTAGTAAGGAAGGGAAGCGCCTATTCCTGAATATAGAACTTGTCCTTTGTCCTGCCACCGCACAGTGTGCTTATGGACAATATGCACTCAGCGAACATTGAGGAAAGCGGGCTCGAAACCGTAGAGGGGCGTACCAAGCTATAAAAATCATTAATGGCAACAATCAAGCTCTGGAACATAAACTTACTCGTCGAAGGGTGAAGACGATATCAGTGACCGTGACAGTTTGGCGCCCACTTGAGTCCAAGATGGCGCATACATCTTTCAATATCTGATAGTCCGTTAGTGTCTGTATGCAGCTACTCGTACAGATCAACTGACCTGGTGCAGCCTCTCCTTGAGAGCTTGACGGATATCGTCATATGTTGTTGCCGAAATGCGCTTCACTCCGCCACGGCGAGCTAGCCGGCTAAGGTGTAAGTTAGTGAACAAGTCAATCAAAGTAACCGCACGGGTTTCGCGGTGTTCAAACGCAACAGCATACTGCAACGAGACTGCCCACGCTCTTGCTGACGGTGACCCGGGGCCACTTACCGTATATCGTTCTTCGAAATACCGTATATGTTGTCTTTCCGAATTTTCCTTCAACATGTCAGCCCTTGCATCATCTAGGGCATGAGCTGTGAGCTCACGTGTGACGCTTAAGTCCGCCTTTTCCTAACCCATTTCCTTTCCCTATACCGCCGGCGCCCTTACCCAGCCCGAGCCCCAGTCTTGCCGCTCTGGAAGCAGCTGGTGACGTAGAAACAGTTGTTCCTGTTGCTTGCGGCCGAGGTGCTGACGCGTAGCGGGATGGACCGCCAAACTGCCTGGGCCTTTCGTTAACCATGCTGCTGCATTAATGGTGTTATGCTCAGGTAGAACGAGCGATGACGGAAGCACTGTGTTGGTGTGGCTTGGGCACGGGCCGCAACGCCACGCGCTGAGACGCGTCCGCGTTATCAGGTGAGAGTGGGTGCGGTGAAGGGACGCGGGGTATCGCAGCGGGGTACTATCTTCTCTTGTCGACAACAAACGCGAGGTGAGATTAGGTCAAACTTTAGCGGTGAAGTATCATAGACAGTGGCGGCCATGTTTATCTGCACAAAGTCGCTAAACATCATGCATCCTGTGCGCGGCAAACGTTACTCATTAGGTTCCAGGTGCTAGCCCTGATGCATTATTAATACTAGGGTATACGTGATCGTAGGGTCCTTGTATCCAACCTTGAGACCATCTCTACGAAATGAATGTCGCCTCAGTAAACAGAGTACCCTCCTCTTCTTTGACCTCATCGCCAACCTTGACCTTGATGGTCATCTTGGGCGCATATTGGTAGATGTACGGCTTTGTGCCAGCTGCGCTTGCGACGATGGTCTTGATGAAACCTGGCACTTCAGCCATAACATCGACACGGTCGATGGTCTTTCCCAGAGCACCAGAAAGGTCTGCAGTGACTTCCTTGCCATCCTCGGTCTTTCCCACCCAGTGGTAGCTCGCCGAGGTGGGCTCCGGCCAGCCGGTCTCGTCTTGCTTGGTCTCGGTGTGCTTCACGTCGCCTTCGGTGTTGGCGAAAAGAAGTTTGTCATCGGTTGCAATTCCGGCGACTCGGACTACAGTCGATGCGTAAGAAGCGGGAGTGGTGAACTCCATGAGGATGGCAGAGTATGATGGTGATTGGAAGTTGACGAAGTTCCATCGCGCAGCTATGTATGTTAGTCGGAAGCGTTTGCATACTTGACAAGATGCTTACCAGCGTGATGTGGCTTCATTCCTTGGACAGCATGGCTCAACATGCCGCGACCCTTGACGTCGACCTCTCCCTCCTTGGTGATGATGGTACCCTCAACGCTGCATCGCGGCCAGAAGTGGTGGTGCATGAAGCCCCACGGCGCCTTCGGATCGGTGCCGTAATTGGTTGTGCCGTCCTTTCCGCCCATGAAGCCGGGAGCAGTCCTGGTGAACTTGACGTTGACCATGCTGTTGTCGTTCACAGCCGCCTTGATGGTGTACGCGTTGCCATCTTCGGAGAGTTCGATTGAGACGCCGTCGGCGTAGAAGGAATGCTGGTCCTCGTCGAAGCCGTAGTTTGAAACGGGGTCACTTGCCCATAGGAAAGGCTTCTCGCTGTTGGGGTAAAAGAGCTTGCAGTTGAACTGCACGGTCACTCGTAGGCCGCTGCAAGCTGTAAGTACTGTGGTCGTCTAGACAGGCAGAGGGCACTCACGCGACGTTGTTGTAGATGACCTGCAGGAAGCCCTTGTGGCCGGCATCGGTGAAGAGGTAGAAGGTCTGGGTCTCGACGTTGGTGTAGTCGAGCGTCACCCACTTGAGGTCCTTCTTGGTCAGCTCCGTGTAGGCGGGCTCACCACCCTTCTTGCCCACGGGCTGGATGGCATCGGGGCCGTATTCGGGCTCCTGGGTGCCGGCAACCGCGGCTAGTCTACATTTGTAAGTACGCGTCCTCTACGACTACACGGTGTACGCCACGGTCGCGCAGGCACGTGTGGGGGCGAGGGTAGCACTCACGTTGACTTGGCCCAGCTGAACATGTTGAGGGCAGGTCGGGGCACTATCCAAAAATAACAGAGGTGCGTAGGTAAAGGCGGTCACGAGGTTTGATTGGAGGAGGGCAGAAAAAACTCTGGAAAGGTTCTGTTCAACAGGTCTGGATCTGAAATTTTCGGGGTGACGAGAGCACGGCCGGGAGCAGGTAGGTACAGCGACGTCCAAGGGCGACGTCAGAACAGACGGTCGGGACACTTGGTGGGCGTTGATATGCTGCGGGGGTATCACGAGATGGTGCTGTCGGGGTCTGAGGGACCTCGGTGCTTGGGGAGGATCTTTGGCGTGTTCGTTGAAGATGCCAAAGACGCTGCCGACATGGGAGTTGAGGCGGCGGTGCATGGGAGAGGCTTAGCCGTAGCTTCCCGATGTTGAACGAATTGGGCAACCCGCGCGCCCTGTGCCTTTCGAGGTAGCACCTATGGAGTATCGTCAACCCCTCCGAAGATCAATTTCTTGTCGCTGTTCACGCCCGACGCCGACCTGCTGTCTTCTCTCGCATATACATAGGACCAATCCCCCAGCAGCAGCAGGCCCCTTCCAGATTCCGCACATCCGCGGTTTTACGGGCGAATTGGTTGCACGCAATCGCCGACTAGCGCGGGGCTTCTTTACTCTAGTCTCCGATGACGATTCTCGATGCTTTGTAGTCAGGCACACGACTCGAGCATTGCATCTGGTTCCTCCCTCTCCGGCATCACCACTGCGCGCATTGCTATCGTCATCTTTTCCGCCTTTTCCGCGTGCCCATCTGGACCCTAGATCCGAGCTGCAAGGGCGCTGTGACGGAGCTCTGGGCGACGCGCATCACGAATCCACTCAAGTAAGCTAGAGCTATCCGACCTAGACATCTGCGTCTTTCGTCATGGCCTGGGCTAGGGGAGCTGACCCTCTATGACAGAACATTCACCTCACACTCACACCCAACAAC